TTTACATCAGAAAAGTTGTGTCCACACCCCTCAACAAAATGGGGTGGTTGAGAGAAAACACAAACAGATTTTGGAAGTGGCAAGGGGACTGCTTTTTCAATCTGGAATGGCCTTGAATTTTTGGTGTTATGCAGTAATGACAGCTGCACATATAATAAATAGACTTCCTAGCTCAGCATTAAACTGGGACACACCATTTGAGAGGATTTTTGAGAAACCAGCAGATTATAGCAGAATGAAGCCCTTTGGATGCTTAGTGTATGCTGTGAATACTTCCCCTATGAAGAGCAAACTTGCATCCAGGTCACATAAATGTGTACTCATTGGATATGTTGGAGGATATAAAGGCTATCATCTTTATGATTTGGAAGAACACAAAACCTTTGTGTCAAGAGATGTAGTGTTCTTCACAGGCACCTTTCCATTTAAACAAATTCAGACAACCACTGAGTCATCTGTCACACCTCTTCCCCAATTTGTTGATGATACTTCATCACTTCCCATGGAAGCTCCAATCTCAGTCTCTTCATCTACTCCAGATTCTTCAGAACCCACAGTTGAACACAAGAGCACAAGAGTCAGATCAAAACCCACATGGATGAGAGACTATATTTGTACCACTCATGCAAATGCACAACAGGGCCTACATGATGTTTTTTTTGCAAATTTAGTTCAAGAGCAAGAGCCTTTGTCATATGAAGCAGCAAAGATTAATGATAAATGGGTGGAAGCTATGGCAGCTGAAATTGAGGCCCTAGAAAAAAACCATACCTGGGAAATGTGCTATCTACCAGAGGGCAAGAAAGCTATTGGTTCTAAATGGATCTATAAAATCAAGAGGAAGGCTAATGGTGAGGTGGATAGATACAAAGCTCGGCTAGTGGCAAAAGGATACAATCAAATTCAGGGTGTTGATTTCTTTGATGTCTTCTCTCCAGTAGCAAAGCTGGTCACAATAAGACTGTTCATAAGTATGGCTGCAATGAAAGGGTGGGAACTATGGCAACTCGATGTCAACAACGCCTTTTTACACGGGCATCTTAATGAAGAGGTCTTCATGAAGCCACCACAAGGTTATACAGGATACAAAGAGGGTCAAGTGTGCAGGCTGACAAGAAGTTTGTATGGGCTCAAACAGGCCTCTCGAGAATGGAACTTTGAACTATCTAAAAAGCTTCTTGCCTATGGTTTGCAACAATCTACTCAAGATCCCTGTTTATTTACCCAACAAAAAGGGGAGGATTTTTTGGCTATGTTGGTCTATGTCGATGATGTGCTCCTCACAGGTTCCTCTTCACATCTCTTAAGCTCTCTGAAAAATTATCTTCATCAAGAATTCACAATCAAGGATCTCTGGCCTGCAAAATATTTTCTGGGCATTGAAATTAAAAGAGATTCTTCTGGTATAGGGTTTGTCAACAAAAATATATCCTTGACTTGGTGGCAGATTCACATCTTGAAGACTGTAAGGCACCTAATACTCCTCTACCTCAAGGGATAAAACTGACTAGCTTTGATGGAAATCCTATGGAGGAGCCTGAACAATATAGACGATTGGTGGGTCGTCTGTTATACTTAAACCTTACAAGACCCGACATTAGCTATGCGGTCCAGCAGCTAAGCCAGTTTGTGACAAACCCCTTTACCAACCATATGACTGCTGCACTTCATGTTCTCAAATATCTTAAAGGTACATCTGCACTTGGGATCTTCTATCACAGAACCTCTGACTTCTCCCTTAAATCCTACTGTGATGTCGATTGGGCTGCTTGTAAAGATACTCGACGGTCTATCACAGGGTATGCTGTTTTCTTGGGCCCCAATCTCATTTCTTGGAAAAGTAAGAAGCAAACGACTGTTTCTCGTTCTTCGGCGGAAGCTGAATACAGGTCCATGGCTACCACGGTGTGTGAGTTGCAATGGATTTTTGCTTTGGCTCGTGATCTTTCCATGCAGATTTGCTTACCCATTCCTTTATGGTGTGACAACCGGGCTGCCATGCATATTACCGCAAACCCGGTGTTTCACGAGCGAACCAAGCACCTAGAAATTGACTGCCATGTGGTGCGCAACAAGTTCAAAGAAGGTTTTATCGAGCCGCGTTACATTCCAACAGGCATGCAGCTCGCCGACTTGCTCACCAAAATTCTCCCAGCTGGTCCTTTTCTCTCTTTGGTTTCCAAGTTGGGTATGGTATTTGTTGGCCATACTCCAACTTGACGGGGGGTG